AACAAACAGAATTTGTCTTTCAAAGAATTAAAAATTTTAAATCTTGTTTAAAATTCAACTATAAGTTTGAATTTTTTTCTGCTAAATTTGATACGATACAGTAACGTCTGAACTTGATTTGTTCTTGTTGCAAGTCAGGAAGGGAGTTAAATCTTTTTAATTGCTTTTTCCAAAGATTATATAGCATTGGGTGCCAATATATCTGCCGGGCCTCAAAAATGTTTGTTACGGGTCGCGAGCTTGACACTCCTGTTCTAAATCAATCTATATAATTTTTAATTTATGTTATACATTTCATTTCTCTGTGTTAGAAATAAAGAAGGAATTAAGGAAAAGTTGAAATGATTCTTTTGCTACATTTAAAACAAGAACTTATATAAAGTGAACTTATATTTATATAAAGTGATTTTTTTATCAGTAAGGAACAGAAATAATTCATTTGGAAAATTGTTAAAACTTCGATACTTTAAATATTTTTACATTACGAAATGAAACAAAAAAAAATTATTTGAATAAAAAAAGACAATCTTTAAGGTATTCGACTACGTTCGAAACCGTGATTTTAAAAAACCGCATAAATGGACAATTTTCATGATATTTAGAGTCACTTGGAATAGAATACATGAATAAAATTGTTTTTAAGGACATTTTGATAAAAAAAATTATTTAAATACAATATTTTGGTACAAATTTAACTTAGAATAACCTTTTTTCAAAATGTTCTCCTTTCATAAAAAATGCTTCTAAAATAATATTTTGCTTAGATAAAGTAAAGACTTCTTCAGAGAGTCTGAACTATTTTTTTTGGAAAAATTCTCATTATTTTCAGAGTTACAACAAATTGAAATAATTATCGGCGTTTCTTTCTTAAAATTTCTCCCCTATTTTGTCGCAAAGAACGGATAAACCCTCTTCTAAGATATATATTTCAAAAATTCTAGTTCAGCTTCTGTACAGAGGTCTGAGCTATATACAAGCAAAATATTATTATAATAGAAGTATTTTTTACAAAAGGAGAATACTTTGAAAATGGGTCATTCTATGTTCATTTTTTGTCAAAATATTGTAGTTAAATAATTTTTTATTGTAATACTATTCTTAAAACAGTTTTATATACATTTTCTAATCTAAGTGACACTAAATATCATAAATATTATTCATTTATAAGCTTTTGCAAAATCATGGTTCCGAACGTAGTCGGATACCTTAAGTACGTTAACCCTTAACTGCCCATTAACAGTTACGAGATTCGCTTCCCAGTGCCACCGTTTTAAACATAGGCGCACATATGCAGCGTATTGGGGGGGAGAAAAGGTATCAATAAGCACATTTTTCTCTGAAAAAAAATTAATCCTTTGCAAACACTGTCAAGATCATTTTATTACATTCCAAAGCCTTCAAAATTGATTTATTGATAGCCGCGTAAGGAAGAGTGTCGTATTTCAAAATGACGGATATATATACGTCGGGGGCACATGACGCAGGGTTTAGCAAGATGTATATATATACATCGGAGGAAATTAAGAGGTTAAATATTTGAGGACGCAACTTACAGAGAAAAAATAAAATTCTTTTCAAGCAATGTAAAACTCTGAAAAGCGTTTTAATTCAATTCCTACTTTTATATTACTGTCCCTATAATAATTTATTTATATATATATATATGTGGGAGACAACAAGGGGTCCAAGACGTTTGTCTTTCTTCTATTTTATTTTAAAACTTAATAAAAATTAATTAAAAAGGTAGATATTTTAACAGATAAGTTTGACGATGATATGCAGAAGGTAACGCCTGCTCGCGCACCTCTCTCGTTCTCTCCGCTGCTTCTCTCTTAAAAGTTCACAGTCTCCTAGTTTCAGTTTTTGTTTCACTTAGCTGCGCCTGCGCGCGAAGACTGCTCGGCTTTGGCTGCCACAACGGCCAGCCTGACTGTACGCTGTCCGCAGCGGTACGCCCATGGAGACCAAAGGAGAATCTGAAACATACAAAAAAAAGACGGAACAGACAAGGACTATACGACAAATACATAGAGATTTAACATATCATAATTCTGCTGAACTAAACAGTTTCTCCATCATGTGAAGGCACTTCTTCGACATCCGGAAGGTTCCACAGGAAAACATTGTGTTTCACAGGCATAAGAACGTCTTTTTTTAACAAGTTGATCTTTGGTTGAACGCATCGATATTTTCCTCTGTAGAGTTCTGGACGTCTGTTCAAAACGATTTCTCTTTTTCCTTCGTTTCCACTGCCAGGGCTTAAAGATCCTTCGGAGCAACACAAACCGTCGATATTTACTATTCATAGGTGAAGGGGCGTTGACGTTCACGGAACTCGTTTTCATGGCACCATTTACTTTCTTACACAATACTATATCAGAACATTTTTCTCTTACAATACTCAATTTTAACTTAGTACTCTTAATTTTATTACATTTATAATCCTTAATTAGAGAACTCAAATCATTTCTAGTATTAAAGTTCTTAACATATGGCAAATCATAACTAGAGTTTTCTATCACATTTGAAACAGAAACAACATTAGGATAAGCATAAGCATGAGCACCTAAAGAGGATTCACTTTCATTCAATAAAACATCGCTCTTTGCGTGGCCTAGTTTTTATTTCAGAATATACACTGGGATGTATAATAAATTCTTCGGTCAAGGTCGGTGATATTGCCGTTCGAACACTTAGACCGGGAGAGTGTTGATTAAGAGAAAGATTTATCGGTTTAACTTCTACCATACGCTGTTCGCCAAAACATGATGTTATGATTTCTTCGGAAGGCTGGTTCACTCTAATTAGTGAGGAATTTAAAACTGGGATCTGGCAACCTGAATCGATCAAGGCTGTTATGGGCTGATTTTCCACAAAAATGTTTACGTATTGTAATTGTTGTGCGAATTCATCGCTATTTTGTTTTTCGCTCTCGATTTTCAAAGTATTCACGTTTATTCTATTATGGATGTGGTCGTTAGATTCTTTAGGTTTAAAACGCTTCTCACAGTTTCTTGCGCAATGAGATGAATCACCGCATATAAAGCAATTTTTATTTTCTCTTTCAAGATATTGGGGATAGTTCTCTTTAATCTTTGGTTTAAAGTTTTGTGATCTACTTTAAAGGGGTCTTGGGTATATCCATAAGTAATAGGAATTTCTTTATGTGATCCGCTTCTAGATGAAATATAAATATCGCACTCTTTAGCTAAATCAATGGGCCTGAACCAATCTTCTGCTTCTCGAATGCCAATATGAGTTGCGGTTTCCTTATTTAAAGTTTCAAATAATTTATCAGAAATTATAAGATCACATAGAGATTCAAAGGAATTAACTTTTCTTAACGAACAATAATATTGGAAGTTTGCCGTCAATCTTGCAGCAAATTGGATGTATGTCTCGCCTGATGATTTTACAGCATTTTTAAATGAGTTTAAACACTCGCGAGGGGTTAATTGGAATTCTCTGAGTACTATAGATTTTAGTTTTTCATAGTCATTTAATTCCTCTTCTTTAATATACAATAAGACATTATGAGCTCTTTCGCCCAGAAGATTTATTAAAATTTCAGATTTATATTCGTCATTTATTTTCTTGGTTAAAAATGCGCGTTCTAATGATTGGAAGAACAGATTAAAATTTTCAGATCTGGTGGGAACAGGAAGAGATAAAGTTCTAATACTGTTTATCATATTTTCTATGTTAGTTTCGAACTGTTTATCTTTGACTTTAGCTGCAGGATTTAAACTTAATGCTTTATTTTTAGCCGTTTGAAGTTCGACTTCTTTTTCTAATTGCGCTAGCTGTAGTTACGCGAGCTCAGTTTTCTGTTTTTCTAAAGTTACCTCTCTTTCGTTTCGCGATACTCTCTCATCTATACAGTTTTGAATTAAAGTTTTAACGAAATCTGGATCACTTTCAAATGTACTACTGTTCTCAATTTTAGTCTTTAGTTTAGCTATGGTGTCCGTACTCTCCACAGTACCGTCTAGATCCTCAACAACTCTTATGAGATCCTCTTTAAGAGCGTTTTTATACATTTTAGAAAAATATGGAAAGATCCTACCTTTTTTTTTCTAGCTCCCTTGTTGCTCGCACGTACGATGTATCCAATAATTGAAGAAAAATCTCGATTCCACTGATTTCTCCTCTTCGCAGGTGATATAGTTGAAATTGTTCGAATTGACACCTCTTCGCAGGTTATATGTGAGTGGATCCAACCTCTACACAGGCGGATTTTCGTCGATGGGTTCCAACCTCTACATAGGCGGAACGAAGTTTCCGAAAAATGGCGGCGCGTCTCCTCCACGGACGGCTTTTGTTCACGTTCCAAACTTTGAGCAACATCGAATTTTTTCAATCCCGGCCTCTACACAGGCGGAGTATTCATGCTGAGTTCAAACCTCTACACAGGTTGAACGAAGTTTCCAAAAAATGGCGGAGCGTCTCCTTCACGGACGCTTTTGTTCATTGTCCAGACTTTGGTTCAAAGTCGAAATTTTATCGATCCCGGCCGATCCCCCATAATTTGTGGGAAACAACAAGGGGTCCAAGACGTTTGTCTTTCTTCTATTTTATTTTAAAACTTAATAAAAATTAATTAAAAAGGTAGATATTTTAACAGATAAGTTTGACGATGATATGCAGAAGGTAACGCCTGCTCGCGCACCACTCTCGTTCTCTCCGCTGCTTCTCTCTTAAAAGTTCACAGTCTCCTAGTTTCAGTTTTTGTTTCACTTAGCTGCGCCTGCGCGCGAAGACTGCTCGGCTTTGGCTGCCATATATATATCTTGTTCAAATTTACAAACGTCTATAAAATACTTTTTACACATCCATTCAAGTTCAAATGCATTTTTTTAAATCATGTAGTGGATGACACTTGACGTTAATACAGTTTTTTCAAATATTAATTCATTAATTAAATTGAATTAATGAATAAATAATGACAAACAAAAAAGAATATTCCAACACCATGTAGAAAAAGGAAAATCGCTCGTTGTGTCCCTGTAGCGCAATACATAGCGCGTTGGATTTATAATCCAAAGGTCGTGGTTTCGAATCCTACCTGGGATGGCCTAATTTCTGAGAATGTGATTTATGAATGAATAAATAGTAGCAAACAAAAATAACTGTCCAATGTCCTCTATATAATGGAAAATCGCTTTGTATTTTGCCACTTAATATTGTGATTCTGCCATATGTATAGGGTGTTTTTTTAGAGGTATAGAACTTTAAATTGCAATAAAACAACGATGTATTATTCGATTGACATGATTTTTTTTTATTCCAAAGATAATCTTGTGGCATTACATTTTAAATATGACCAAGCAAGGCGTAGATTCGTCGAATGGGCCCAAAACGAGATTGCCCTTGTTCCCGATTTTCATAAGCGAATTTTGTTTAGCGATGAAGCGCACTTCTGGTTGAATGGTTACGTCAACAAACAAAACTGCCACATTTGGAGTGAAGCTAATCCACAAGTGTATGTCGAAACACCGTTATATCCAGAAAAACTGACTGTTTGGTGCGCTTTATGGGCTGGTGGAATCCTTCTTCAAAAATGATGAAGGCCACAACGTTACAGTCAATGGTGATCGGTATAGAGCCATGATTACTAACCTTTTCATTCCTGAATCGAACAATCATGATGTCCAGGAGCTGTGGTTCCAACAAGACGGCGCAACATGTCACACAGCTCGTGCCACAATCGATTTATTGAAAGACGCGTTTGGTGACCGCCTAATTTCACGTTTTGGACCTGTGAATTGGCCTCCAAGATCTTGTGATTTAACACCGCTAGACTATTTTCTGTGGGGCTATGTAATGTCATTGGTCTATGCGGATAAGCCACAAACCCTTGACCATTTGGAAGACAACATTCGCCGTGTTATTGCCGATATACGGCCACAAATGTTGGAAAAAGTCATCGAAAATTGGACGTCCAGATTGGACTACATCCGAGCCAGCCGTGGCAGTCCTATGCCAGAAATCATATTTAAAATGTAATGCCACAAGTTTATCTTTCGAATAAAAAAAATTCATGTCAATCGAATAATACACCGTTGTTTTATTGCAATTTAAAGTTCTATACCTCTAAAAAAACACCCTTTATATACATATTTATATTAATTGTAGTTATTTAATAAAAAATAAGTAAAATAAAATTTTCTTTGTTGATTTAAGTAACAATTGGCTTTGTTTTGTTTATATATTGCTTGTTTTTTATTAATATTACATAAAAAATAAACTACAACGCTTTTTATCTGTTAATATTCAAATAAAATAGACATTTGAACACAAGATTTCTTCATTCTGTGATTGAAGAGACCAACTTTAATTAAGTAGACAGCTTTAAGTGGTTATCAAGTCTTAAGACCTGACTCTCGGTAAACTTTTCAGAGCGCAGCTGTTCGTCATGATGCGAGTCAAAAGAGACTCCAACAGCGGATGATTAATGTTTCATTTACCTCCTCAAAGTACGCTAAAGGGGAATTCCCCTCGACAGCTGCGGGGGTTCTGTGAAAAGATTATTAATCTCATTTACACTGAGAGACATTCAAGACTAATTACGACCCTATTCTCTTGTGGTTGCTTGCGAAAAGTTTGAAGCTGCACTTTTACTGCTGCTTTCATCGATTCGCCTCCAATTTCTTCGATATTTCTTTCTTCACAGTTACCTTGTGGTCTATGTTACGTTTAAGATTAGATGAAGATACCGTTGGTTCTTACATTGTAACCTGATTTCGTATACAATTAATGTCGATAGCTATAAAAAATTGCCAATGATACTTTATTAACTTCGAATTTCAGGGACTATTAACGACCGATTTCGAAAATTTGTCTCGGTCAAATGATGAGGGCAGTGGCGCACGCAGGAATTTTTCAAGGGGGCGGGGTCGAAAGTTCACCATTCTTGTATCATGCTCCTTTTGATTTTGTCGATTTTCGGGAACAGAACACAGTAAAAAACTAGTTTTTGAATAAATAATTAGCATTAATTAATAAAACTAATTAATTAAATTAATCGCTAATAGCAAGTAATTAATTAAATTTTACGCACTATATACTTAGAATTATAATCAATCGGAAAAAAATCTAGGGCTTTGGGGGGTCCGGACCCTCTGGATCCCCCCCTTGTGTACACCACTGGATGAGGGTGATATGTAAGGTGGCTTCACGTTCTCAAAATTTCCATTCCACGCCACGTGAAGACTATTATAATGACAGATTTAACACGCATTGGCTCTTCTACACAACGGATCTTAAGTATCTTCAGGACTCGAGTTCGCTACCCGATAAAAGTAATTCTAGGTACAAGTTCATTTCTGACAACTAGAAATGGTCATCATAATCGTGGTCACATGAGGTTTTAGAAACATTTTTTATAGTAGTTCATCTCTCTTGTAAGATGTATGTGCTTATTTTTTTTCTTTCATTGACAGTTAGCTATTAATATGCAGGGTGTTGACGAATTCAACCGACAAATTCAGAAGGTGACAGTAGTCGGAATAGGGACGATAACTCACCATGAAACAGGGATAGGCATTAAGTCGTTCGTGATCAACTGGTGAACTGCCGAGACATTTTGGTTAACCGCCTTTACCAAGACTTGGAAAGACCAAAGACTGAAAGAAACAAATTTATGGAACACCGACGCTAGCTGAACTGTAGAATTGGCTTTTTAAAATAGATGTGACTGGGATTACCAAAGAAAATACATAATTTTATAAATAAGCAGACTGCACATGTACCTTCATTGGAAGTGCACGGTGAGGCTTAACACGTTCACTACCGCTGTAGGGGAAAAAAGCGATCATTGCGATGCCATCCGTATAAATGATTTTCCCCACATGCCTAATGAATGGGAGAATAAATGTTAATGATCAGCTCTTCCCGTGATAGCACGTAATTGGCTATAGAGTCATCGTCCCACACCTCACGCTTCCACACGATTGAATTGTCTTATTGATGTGCCCCACGATGGCGCAAGACTCGGCAGCAAACAAATTAAGTACATATGACAGTTTCAAATTCATCAGTACAAGTGTGATTTCTGCTTGTTGCATTAAATATGTCCACGCTCTATGATCTAGAAGTCGCTCATAGTTGTTCAAGAATTCAGACTGACAATTTTGTGTTACTTGTGTTTTTGCAGTAAAAATAGTAATCTGTCATATTTCGAAACAGGAGTTTAATATGGAAAACAAGTGTTAAGAAAGAAAATATATAATTTTGAGACAGAATAGCCACACCTACGTGTCTAGGTCGCCCGCAACACCTTAAGGTATCCAAATACGTTCGGAACTGTGATTTGCAAAAGCGCATAAATGGATAAATTTCATGATATTTAGTGTCACTTAGATTAGAATATATGTATAAAATTGTTTTAAAAACATTTTGACAAAAAAAATTATTTTAATGTAATATTTTGGCAAAAAAATTAACTTAGAATAATTTTTTTTCCAAATGTTCTCCTTTTGTGAAAAATATTTTTCTAGTAGAATAATGTTTTGCTGTATATAGCTCAGACCTCTGTTCAGAGACTCAACTAGAATTTTTGAAATATATAACTTAGAAGTGGGTTTATTCATATTTTACGACAACAGAGGGGAGCCATTTTAAGAAAAAAATGTCAATAATTATTTCAATCGGTGGTAACTCTGAAAATAATGTGAATTTCTCAAAAATTCTAGTTGAGCCTCTGTAGAGAGGTCTGAGCTATATACAGGCAAAATATTATTATAATCGAACCCTTTTTCACAAAAGGAGAACATTTGGAAAAAAGATTATTCTAAGTTAATTTTTTGCCAAAATATTATATTTAAATGATTTTTTTTTGTCAAAATGTCCGTAAAACAATTTTATGTATGTATTCTAATCTGAGTGACACTAAACATCATGAAAATTATCCATTTATGCGCTTTTTTAAAATCACGGTTCCGAACTTCGACGGATACCTTAAAAGCATTAGAAGTAGAAAAATTCACCCACCCCGGCAATATAACTTGGGGTCGTAAATCACATTTAATAGGGGAAAAATCGTGATAATAGTGATGGGAGACCAGAACGAATTCAGCAGACCTCTAAATTCCAAAGTCAGTTTCTTGGAATTCATTTGAGTTCCCCCTCACCGGATACAGGGTGTGCCAGAAAGTTCCCGCGCCCGGAAATCACTAGACCCATAAATTGCGGGGTGCGTCAAGGGATTTCCCGCGCTTTTAAAAAGTTCATTAAACACATAGATTTTGGAATGATGTAACTCTGCGCTGGTTTCTGGACCAATCAGAGACAATTAAAGTGGACAAGACAAAGAGTCCGCTCTAGGATTTTTGTGTGAAAAGTCGTAAAATAAAACGGGACGCACCCCAATTTTACGGAGAGACAGAGCCGATCCCAGAGTTACAGACAATCTCAAAAAACTCCCTAGACTCCGGGCATCAACCATGTCCATTCCCTTGCACTTTCCCTCTCTCAAGCTAAGTTAATTTTGGATCTTGTAGTGAAGTAAATTTCCATATACTTGTGCTTAAAATAAATTTAATAATGTTTTATAAAACTATACGATCAGTGTATGATTTAGTGTGAGATGAGTGTTTTAATTTTAGAATTAGTTAACTTAATTAATTGTCATGATGCGATGTGAAATTAGGAATCTGGGTTCAAAGTTTTAGAGATTAAATAAGTTTAAAATAGCGTCGCATCATTTGGTGCCGTGACCAGCCGTCAAAATTTTTTTTCTTTGCACCATTTAGTGCCGTAACCTATGTTTCCCCCTCCCTCCTTAATTGAGATGAGATTTTGGGCCACTCGGTTTTTTTTAATTGTGGGTTCATTTAGAAAAAACCTCTATCAAGAAATTTTTTTATCCATGGTGATAAATTTAATTATCTATTAAAGTGTAAGAATTATTGATAATGTGTCTTGTCAAATTTATATTACCCTGATTTGTTTTTTGTTTTTTTCCTATTGATTTGTGCCGCAACTTTATATTGTACTGTCATCTATAGAGGATAAATATAATAGTTTTTTTTTCTAAGTTGAGATGTTGTTAATGTATTTTTTTTTGTCTTATG